ATGGCTACCCACTCCAGTCCTCTTGCCTGGGAAATGCCATGGACGGAGGAGCCTGGTGGGCTGCGGTCCATGGGGTCACAAAGAGTCGGACACGACTGAGGCCCACACTGGCTTCATAACAAGACCATGTTTTAGCATGCTTGATTCTCACAGCAGCCTGTGAGGTTTTTAGTACTGTTTCCTCCTTGTATAGATGATGAAATGGAAGCCTAAAGTGAAGTAACTTTCCCTATTTTCAAAAGTAATGAGTGATTGGGCTGGAATCCGAACCTCTGCAGTTGGGCTCTAGTGATCTTACTGTTGACGCAACGGCCTTGTATTTGATACAAGGAGATGTGGGAAAACTGACAACAATATAAGTCTGAGGAGAAAGAAGACCTAAGACTCTTGAATTTAAAAGATTAATGTGGAAGGTTCAAAATTAGAATTCACTTATTTACTTCTTAGAAAAGTCTGTTTTTTAAGAATTCTAACATGTTCTACAAATATCAGTATGTTTCTAAACCTCAAATGTTTTAAGACAGTTGAATGCATCCTAAAATAGTTAATAATTTAGTAAATTATTTTTTCTTAAAAGGAGCCTGAGAAGAGCATGCTTTAGTCTGTACTGTAGTGAAAGTAATAAATAATGCATGAGCAATATTGCTGGCAGACCCAAAGAGGGTTTTTTTCCCTCTTGGGTGTGAAGCTCAAGCTAAAATTTAACACACTTTCTCTGCTCTCAAAGCTTTTTCTTTTTCAATATCTTCCATGCTGAAAGATTGACTCTACCTTTCATATACTCATCTGAGAACACTACTTTATCATCTTGTATGTCTCTCTTTCCTTTGTTCCTTCACTATCACATTGATTCTATATCTTAAATCTATTTTAAACAGGATCCCTCCTTTTTATCTCAATGGACATTGCCTTTGTTGGAATTGCCATTTTTTTCCTGAGTAAATACAATTGCTTCCTAATTTGTCTCACTGTACTTAGTCCTCCTTCCAGTCCAGTTCAACTCATTTTTCTCACTACAATCAGAAAAATCTTTCCAAAATCCAAATATCATTATTTCCCAGCATAAAGTCCAAAGACTTTATGGTGACTTTACAGGACTTTCAACCTGGCTTCTGCACACATCTCTAGTTCCAATCCCTACTGTTCTTTATCACTACCTTATAATTCAGTCACGCCAAATTGTTTGCATTTCTTCAAGTATGCCAAGTTGTTCCATGCCTTCAAGCCTTTGTGCATAGTATTCCTTGAAATAGCCTTTCTTAAAATTACTAACACTCTAAATTATTCATACTTTATAATCATATATGACAATTTATCAAGTCTTATTTCTTTCTTTGGCACTCCTGTGGTGGTAGCTGCCACCTTTGTAGTATTTAGCACGTTGAAGTTCAGCTGTTTACTTGTGTATCATTTCTAGATTGTGAGGGATTGGGACAGGGAATATGTCTCATCATTCTAGAAAAATCCCTGAGCACCTTCTCTGAGGACATTTTTCAGGCTACTGATTGTTTAACAGCTAATGGTTTCACATATTAAGGATTATAGATATACTTGTAGACTACATATTATATGAAGCTAGAGAAATCTAAATTCTAATTTTTTTGTGGAAGTTTTCTCTGCTGCCCAAAATCAAGCTGAATAACTAACAGTAATGGTAACCTCTGTTTTGCTCCTTTACTCTCAACACTTCTCACACCAGATGCGTGCGGTTTTGCCCACATGAGATCATTCTTCAACCAGCTGGATGTCTTACCGTTCAGTTCTGTTCTGGCACTATCTTCCTGGACTTAGTGGCAGATCTCACAGGTTAAGGGCTCAGTCCTGGGAGAGACCAGTTGCAAGTCCACAAATTACCTACACTTCTGACTGATCAGCTGTCAATCAGAGGTTTGTGGGACACCCTCAGATTCTGTCATTTGCTAGAATGGGTCATAGAACTCAGAAAGTCAGTTTTATTACTATTGCTGATTTATTGCAAAGTGTATTTCAAAAGATACAAATGAACAGCCAGATGAAAGAGGTGTGTAGGGCAACGGGTGAGAGAGGAGGCCCAGAGCTGGCACGAGCTCTCCAGGCCTGCCACCGACCCAGCACCGCCTTGTGTTCACCAAAGCTGAAGCTCACCAAACCTTTTGCTTTAAGAGTTTTTAAAGAGCTCAATCTCCAATGCCTGTCCCCTTCCTGTCAGTGGGTGGGGCTGAAAGGTCTAACTCTGATCTCTTGGTCTATCTAGGAGTTCCGCTCAAAGTCAGCTGTTAGCACAAACCCAAATGTGGTCAAAAGGGACCCCTTATGAATAATACTCAGGAAAAATCACTCCAGAAATTGTAAGAGTTTTAGCAGATCTGTGCCAGGAAAAATACCAAATATGTTCTCTATTATACCACAACACATCTGGCTATTTTCTGGTCATTCTCATTGTGTCATATTAGCATGAGAAAAAAGAAAAGCAGGAATCTAAATCAAGTTGCTGCTTAAACAACAAAGCATCTTGACTGAATAAGGGGGAGGACTTGGGGGTTGTGGTCCGTGTACGTCAATGCAAAGTAGAGAAGAATCAACATCACTGAACACCTGTGCGTGTGTTAATCACTCAGTCGTGTTCAACTCTATGTGACCCCATGGACTTCCACCAGGTACCTCTGTCCATAGAATTCTCCAAGCAAGAATACTGGAGTGGGTAGCCATTACCTTCTCCTGGTTGAATGCCCAGGACAGGCCAAACAGGTTTTCATTTAGTATCACATTTAATACTTGGAAAAGTGTTGTCTCTGCACACCACTTGAGAGTTTCAGAGGTACTTGGTGAGTTGCCTCAAATTGTAAATATAACAGTAAGACTCAAGTCCAGAACTTTGATGGCCATGTACATATATATGCCATCAAGCACTTACCAAAAGAGTTCTCTTAAGAAAGCCTTAAGTCTGATGTCCAATTCTTCTCTTTATTCTCACTGCCTGGCACAATGACTGACACATTATCAGTGTTCATTGACTGTCCAGAGGCTAAATTAGCAAACAGAAATTGTGCAATTTACAAGAAAACTTCCTTTGGTCCGATTTTTTCAAAGAGATCTCTGAACACAATTTCTATTCTCATGTATTCCATTATAAACCTAATCTCGGATCCAGCAAAGAAGAAATTGATGTGCTGATTTAATCAATTGAGTCTGTAGAATTTGTCTTTCAGAATGGGGTTGTCCTTACGTAATATATCAGTATGTTTCTCCTGTCTCACAACCTGGACTGCAGTCCAAGTGGGTATGAGTCTGTGAAGATAGATTGTAACTGAGCAATACTTTTATCCAAGACTGTTTACTGCTCATAGTCATTGAAAACGTCCCCTCTTAGCAGACAACCAGTAAGTATTTTGTGACTTGAGCAGCCTTATTCCTGTCCTTTCATTATGTTTAATAGATCAGTTGCATTTTCCTATTTCTTTGTTCGGTTTACCAATTTTATTTTTAATTAATTTTTATTTAAGGAAAATACATCCTCAAGGCATGCATACCTTGAGGGCATGCCGACCCAAAAGACAGGAAGAGAAGAGAGGCCCAATTTTGGTTCCTCTTTTTATATGTTTTTTTCTCCTCCCCGTGGGCCTGCCCTATGTAAATTGGGCTAGCCAGGAGTGCTGTTTGTTCTACCTGAGGTCCTCACTCAGGTTCTCAGAGCTTCCTTTGTTCTATTTTCATGGGCTTTTCCCTTCCTTATCTTTTAACCACCACCATTCTGGACTCCTTTTTCCTATTCTAACTACCTAACAGAATGAAAGTATAAAGTTCCTTGTAGATAAAGCAGGGAAAAGTGTGATTGTACTAAAATATAAAGTGTATTTCTTTAAAACATTTTATCTGAAAAACTTAGGGTGATAGATGAGTAAACACAAACTTACCAACAGTATGTGTTAGTTTCTTTTTTTCATGAGGGTATGCAACCATATCTCATGCAGTGTGAATTATTTCCCTGGTGACCAATGAATGCCTGACTCCCTGGTGTCTCAGCAGTAAAGAACCCAACTGCAAAGCAGGAGACTTGGATTCTATCCCTAGGTGGGGAAGGTCCCTTGGAGGAGGAAATGGCAGCCCACTCCAGTATTCTTGCCTGGAAAATCCCATGGACAGAGGAGCCTAGTGGCCTACAGTCCATAGGGTCTCAAAAGAGTCAGACACTACTGAGTGACTAACAACAACAATTTTTACTGGAATATAGTTGAGTTACAATGTTGTCTTAGTTCCTGCTATATAGCAAAGTGAATCAGTTATACATATACATATATCCACTCTTTTTTAGATCCTTTTCCCATAAAGATCAGTACAGAGTATTGAGTAGAGGTCCTTGTGCTATATGGTAAGTCCTTATTAGTTATGTATTTTATATATAATACTGTGACTATGTTAATCCCAGTCTCCCAATTTATCCCCCTTTGGTAACCGTAAGCTTGTTTTCTATAACTGTGATCTATTTCTGTTTTGTAAATAAGTTAATTTTTACTATTATTTTTTTAGATTACACATACAAGTGATACCATATGGTATTTGTCTTTCTTTGTCTGACTTACTTTACCTAGTAGGACAATCTCTAGGTTCATCCATGTCACTGTAAATGGCATTATTTCATTTGTATTTATGGCTGAGTATGAGTTGACTGATTTTAGCATAATTATACCCAAACTCGATTTCTTTCTTGACCTAAATCTTCTTTTATTACTTTTCTTTTTCTAGATAACAAAAATCTCTGTTGAACATTTTTTCAAACCAAACCTGTATATATTATAAAACTTTCTTCCCAGCATATGAAAAATACATAAATGGTTTAACAGAACCAAGCATTATTTAGCCGACAGATAAGAGCCCTGTGGAATAAGCCATGATACCATACATTAATTAATAAATAGAGTTTTTATCTTTCTTTCCCTTTTTGACTGAAGTAAATGCACTCCCTTGGTATTGGTTGCTATTTGTTCACACCAGGCCACCATATTTATTCTGCTTTGTTACAGAAACTCCACTTACTGTATGAAAGTATCCATCTCACTGACAGTAGGTGAAAATGACACTGGACTCTGCTACAATTCCAAGATGAAGTACTTTGATAAAGCTGAACTTAGCAAAAGCAAGGAAATTGCCTGCCGTGACATAGAAGACTTTTTGCTACCAAGCAGAGAACCTGAAATACTGTGGTATAAGGTATGGACTATGAATGATTTTATTGCTCATAAATAGATTCATGTGTATCTTATAGGGCAAGTTGGATAAAAAATATTAATGGGTGTTCTGTAGTTCAGTTCTGCCTTTATAAAATACTACAGCAAGTTGTGCTGGTCATTGTAAGTTTTTAAACCAGTGATTTTGAAAATCCTAGTCAATATTTATATGGTAGTCCACTGTAGTAAGCTATTATGTGAATGTTTAGATAAAATTTATGCTGATAATCATTTCAATTCTATTATAATCTGTGTTGATAATTTCAAGAACTGAAATATGTCAAGCATTCATTTCAAAGCACTTGTATAAGCAGTCTAAAATATCCTCACACAGCAGAGAAAGGATTGACTTGCTTCTGTGATAAAATTGTATACCAGTTTTATTGAAATATTCTGTTTAATGGAAGTATCTTTGTGCATATTCTAATCCTTTTCATATAAAAGTATACATATTTTTTAAAACCTGATGAAAATGTATAACATTATAAAAAAGTGCTAGATTAACTTTTTTTTTTCAAAAACCAAAAGAAAATTTAGCCTTAAACAGAATAGTCAGATGCTGTTCTCACTGTCACATCATTGAGTGAACTTCAGGATTTGAACATATTCTTTAACTAATTTATGTCATAAAAGATAGTTTTGTTATTGAACATACTCAAGAAAATACAGTATACAGGCTGTGAAAATTTGTCTGGAATATTTTATCCATGGTTTAAAGATTCCTAGTATAAACTTTGTTTTGTCCAACTAACTGGAAATAGGAATGTAGGAAGCTGGATCTTTTAATAACTAGATTCACAAATATCAGTATAAAGAAGGTGAGTCCTTAGGACTGATAGCTTTTGAATTCCAGACTTGTTAGAAATGAAACAGGAAATACATCTTTCAGTTCAGTTCAGTCGCTCAGTTGTGTCCGACTATTTGCGACCCCATGAACCGCAGCACGCCAGGCCTCCCTGTCCATCAACAACTCCCGGAGTCCACCCAAACTCACGTCCACTGAGTCAGTGATGCCATCCAGCCATCTCATCCTCTGTCATCCCCTTCTCCTCCTGCCCTCAATCTTTCCCAGCATCACTGTCTTTTCAAATGAGTCAGCTCTTCGCATGAGGTGGCCAAAGTATTGAAGTTTCAGCTTCAACATCAGTGCTTCCAATGAACACCCAGGACTGATCTCCTTTAGGATGGACTGGTTGGATCTCCTTGAAGTCCAAGGGACTCTCAAGAGTCTTCTCCAACATCACAGCGCAAAAGCATCAATTCTTCGGCGCTCAGCTTTCTTTATAGTCCAACTCTCACATCCATACATGACCACTGGAAAAACCATAGCCTTGACTAGATGGACCTTTGTTGACAAAGTAATGTCTCTGCTTTTTAATCTGCTGTCTAGGTTGGTCATAACTTTGCTTCCAAGAAGTAAGTGTCTTTTAATTTCATTGCTGCAATCTCCATCTGCAGTGATTTTGGAACCCCAAAAAATAGTCAGCCACTGTTTCCACTGTTTCTCCATCTATTTGCCATGAAGTGATGGGACCAGATGCCATGATCTTAGTTTTCTGAATGTTGAGCTTTAAGCCAACTTTTTCACTCTCCTCTTTCACTTTCATCAAGAGGCTCTTTAGTTCTTCTTCACTTTCTGCCACAACGGTGGTGTCATCTGCATATCTGAGGTGATTGATATTTCTCCTGGCAATTTTGTTTCCAGCTTGTCCTTCTTCCAGCCCAGCATTTCTCATGAGGCACTCTGCATATAAGTTAAATAATCAGGGTGACAATATACAGCCTTGACGTACTCCTTTTCCTGTTTGGAACCAGTCTGTTGTTCCATGTCCAGTTCTAACTGTTGTTTCCTGACCTGCATACAGGTTTCTCAAGAGGCAGGTCAGGTGGTCTGGTATTCCCATCTCTTTCAGTATTTTCCGCAGTTTATTGTGATCCACACAGTCAAAGCCTTTGTCATAGTCAATAAAGCAGAAATACACGTTTTTCTGGAACTCTCTTGTTTTTTCAATGATCCGGCGGATGTTGGCAATTTGATCTGTGGTTCCTCTGCCTTTTCTAAAGCCAGCTTGAACATCTGGAAGTTCGTGGTTCATGTATTGTTGAAGCCTGGCTTAGAGAATTTTTAGCAGTACTTTGCTACCGTGTGAGATGAGGGCAATTGTGCGCTAGTTTGAGCTTTCTTTGGCATTGCCTTTCTTTGAGATTGGAATGAAAACTGATACATCTTTAGTAATCTTTAAAGAGTTTTTCCAATATTAGCAATACCCTTCTCTGAATGACTTACTTTCATTCTTGATTATAAACAATGAAGGAGGATTCAGAACATCAAGGGAACTGTTGAAATAGTTTTTTACTTTTCCCTTGGATTTCTGTCTTGGACAATGTTAAATAGCCTTAAAATTAGCCCCACTCTTTCTGTTTCTGTGTATCTGGGCTATGTATTTTATGTGTCTTAATTGTATGACTATTTCTAACCCTGATTTTATGAAGTTTGCTTGCTTTCCATAGGAAGATTCTAAGCAAGCCCTGATGATTTCCTCAAAAAGAAGGGATATTAGGAGTTTGACCCGAAGTCTTCAATTACAAATATTTTTTCATGTGTACATTCAACTCCTAGATACGCAATTTCTTTGTTGTTTGCTAAGAAGTTCATCCTGGAGCAGGAAATGGCAATCCACTCCAGTAGTCTTGCCTGGAAAATTCCATGGACAGAAGAGCCTGGCAGGCTACAGTCTATGGGGTTGCAAAGAGTCAGACACAACTGAGCATGCACTTGCACGCATAAGAAGTTGATCTTGAGAGTTACACACTTTTTCTCATTTTTTTTGCAAATAGTAGCTCAGAATTTGCTGAAATATTAGAGACTACACACATGTGCACACACACATCCCCCACACAGAGTCTTACATTCAGTTTTTTAAATGACTAACCTCATATTGGTCCTTTAGTCATGTTTCCACCATCTCCCCAGTCATTGTGACCTTACGCTAGATAGACCATAACTAGTGAAGTGATGGGTGAAGATGCAGTATATCTAGAATTTAAAGAAGTCTTCATATTATTTTTCCACAGTCAAGGGAACATTTAGTGCATAATTCACAGTTTATACAACCAATATGAGGATATTAAATGTGTACTTTGCACTGAAATAGCCAGATAATTGTGCCCCAGTTACACACAGGCATTGAGATGCATCATCAAAACAATGGTCTGTATAGATTTGATTTGCTAATAAATTTTTAAAAAGATATGACTTCTGGATAGTGTTAGAAGGTTTAAAGCTATTTTATCCTCATTCCATTGATTTCTAATCTGGCTAGAGAAAATGGACTTCACTTTCTCAAAAACAGAAATCTCCTGAGCCAACATCATAATAATCCAAAACTTAAATCAGAGACCATAATTTGGTATTAACAATGAAAATTGGTATTATGGAACTATGAAGATCTTGCATAAAAATGATGGCCATTTCCTCCATCGATTGCAGAATATATATGCTATGAAAAGATCAAATTATTTCTAAATATGACATTAAAAGATTTAAAATATTGAATTAAAGCATTTTTCTCCATAGTTATTTTCTACTTTCCACTAAAAAATTCATTTTATGTTTTATGTTATTAGTATCAAGGTAGTTAATTTCATAAAAATCAAATGTAAAATATTTTCTTCTAAAAGTGCTTTCAAAAGTAATCTTAATAAATGTTCCTTTTATTATATCTAATAAATCAACACATATATATCTGATTTAGAGACACTAATCTTATGCATTAATAAAGTGAATCTTAAGTACTTTTTTCCAAATTGAGAACCTGGTTTCCTGGAAATATGGAAAAGGTTTGAAAATCTTTAGCATTAATTCCAAAATCTTCAGCATTTTTAAAATATAACTTTAGAAGTTTTAGTTTAGTCATTTTAAATATTTTATTTTTAAGTCACTGTATATACTATAAAAATTCTATATTCTTCATGTAGGAATGTAGGACAAAAACATGGAGGCCAAGTATAGTATTCAAAAGAGATACGCTGCTTATAAGAGAAGTCAGAGAAGATGACATTGGAAATTATACATGTGAGTTAAAATATGGAGGCTTTGTTGTGAGAAGAACTACTGAACTAACTGTTACAGGTAAGTTCAGTCTTCAGTATTTCACTTGCAAGTAATGAAACTAACATTTTAAGTTTCACTTTTGTGCTTCATATTGATTTTTTCAAATCTTTGCAGTGAAAGAACCACTTAACCAAATGCTAAATGTATTCCTATAGGTGAAGTTTATTCCTTCTTGTTTTCAAATCATATTGCCCTGAAATGCATTTGAAAGGTTAAAGAAAATAGGCTTAGGGGATTATAGAAATGTTAGCTTTTAAAAGTGCTTGAAATAATGAGTATACAATTTCAGAAAATTATGCTTATATTTTGTAGTGGTGTCCTTTTTGGAAACATTTCCTAGAGTGTTGAAATGGAATATATGAAATTTACCTCGATCTTCCTGTCTTGTTCCAAATTAGAAACATTACTTTTTTATTCATGTATCACTCTGTGAACTTGACACATGTTCTCATGAACTTGAATATAACAAAGTATCACATGCAATGTTTGAATAATTATGTGAGATGCATTGCATGGTCTCATTCCTGTATCTGGTTATTAAGGTAGAAGGGCATGAGAGCAAAATTCAGGACAGTCTGTAATCACAGACCTACAACTCACTAGTCATGTGATAATTTTAATCACCACAACCTTCAGAATATCAATTTCCTCATGTGTAAAATGGTGATGATAAAGTTTGCCTTGTTTATTTCATAGGATTTTTGCAAGGATTGAATGAAGTAAGCTAATATGTATGAAATCCATTAGCAAAATATAGAATTACATACAAATATGCATAATTTTTGTCATTTTAAATGATATATTCTTAAATAATGTATTCATCCCTCATTTAATGTTATTGTGTACTTCTCTCAAAGTGCCTCCAACAGATAAAGCGGGGGGATCAAAAATCAATGCTTCCATCAGTTAAAGACATTATTCTCATCTTATTAAGAGAGATTCTTAATAAGTGATATCTCTGCTTTTTAATATGCTGTCTAGGTTTGGCATAGCTTTCCTTCCAAGGAGCAAGCATCTTTTTTATTTCATGGCAACAATCACCATCCACAGTGATTTTGAAGCCCAAGAAAATTAAACCTGTCATTGCTTCCAGTCGTTCCCCTTCTGTTTGCCCTGAAGTAATGGGACCGGATGCCGTGATCTTAGTTTTTTGAATGTTGAGTTTTAAGCCAACTTTTTCACTCTCCTCTTTCATCTTCCAGAGGCTCTTTAGTTCCTCTTTGCTTGCTCCTGTTAGAGTGGTGTCATCTGCATATCTGTGGCTCTCAATATTTCCCCCAGCAATCTTGATCCCAGCTTTTGATTCATCCAGCCCGGCATTTCTCATGATGTACTCTGCATATAAGTTAAATAATCAGGGTGACAATATACAGCCTTGACGTACTCCTTTCCCAATTTGGAACCATTCTGTTGTTCCATGTCTGGTTCTAACTGTTGCTTTTTGACCTGCATACAGGTTTCTCAGGAGGCAGGTAAGGTGGTCTAGTATTCCCATCTCTTTAAGAATTTTCCAGTTTGTTGTGATCCACACAGTCAAAGGCTTTGGCATAGTCAATGAAGCAGAAGTAAATGCTTTTCTGGAATCCCCTCGATTTCTCTGTGATCCAACGGATGTTGGCAATTTGATGTATGGTTCTTGTGCCTTTGCTGCACCCAACTGTACATCTGGAAGTTCTTGGTTCACGTACTACTGAAACCTAGCTTGAAGGATTTTGAGCATTACTTTACTAGCATGTGAAATGAGGGCAAACGTGAAATAGTTTGAACATTCTTTGGTATTGCCCATCTTTGGAATTGAAATGAAAACTGATGTTTTCCAGTCCTGTGGCCACTGTTGAGTTTTCCAAATTTGCTGGCATATTGAGTGCAGCACTTTCACTGCATCATCTTTTAGGATTTGAAATAGCTCAACTGGAATTCTATCACCTCCACTAGCTTTGTTTGTAGTAATGCTTCCTAAGGCCCACTTGACTTCACACTCCAGGATATCTGGCTCTAGGTCAGTGACACACCATCGTGGTTATCTGGGTCATTAAGGCCTTTTTTGTACAGCTCTTCTGTGTTTTCTTGCTACCTCTTCTTAATCTCTTCTGCTTCTATTAGGTCCTTGTCATTTCTGTCCTTTGTCATGTCCATCCTTAAATGAAATATTCCCTTGACATCTCTAATTTTCTTGAAGAGATCTTTAGTCTCTCATTCTGTTGTTTTCCTCTGTTTCTCTGCATTGTTTATTTAAGAATGCTTTCTTATCTTCCCTTGCTATTCTCTGGTACTCTGCATTCGTTTGGGTATATCTTTCCCTTTCTCCCTTATCTTTTGCTTCTCTCTTCTCTCAGTTATTTTTAAAGGCTCCTCAGACAACCTCTTTGCCTTTTTGCATTTCTTTTTCTTTAGGATAGTTTTGATCATTGCCTCCTGTACAGTTATGAATCTCCATCCATAGTTTTTCAGACATTCTGTCTACCAGATCTAATGCCTTAAATCTATTAATTACCTCCACTATATAATCATAAGGGATTTGATTTAGGTCATACCTGAATAGCCTAGTGGTTTTCCCTACTTTCTTCAGTTTAAGCCTGAATTTTGCAATAAGAAGTTCATGATCTGAGCCATAGTTGGCTCCAGGTCTTGTTTCTGCTGACTGTATAGAGCTTCTCCATCTTTGGCTCCAAAAAATATAATCAATCTGATTTCAGCATTGACCATCTGGTGATGTACATGTATAGAGTTATTTCTTGTGTTGTTGGAAGAGGGTGTTTGCTATGACCAGTGTGTTCTGTTGACAAAACCCTGCTAACCTTTGCCCTGCTTCATTTTGTACTCCAAGGCCAAACTTGCCTGTTATTCCAGCTATCTCTTGATTTCCTACTTTTGCATTCCAGTCCCCTGTGATGAAAAGATATCTTGTTTTGGTGTTAGTTCTAGAAAGTCTTGTAGTCGAACTGTTCAACTTCAGCTTCTTCAGCATTAGTGGTTGGGGCATAGACTTGGATTACTGTGATGTTGAATGGTTTGCCTTGGAAATGAATTGAGATCATTCTGTCATTTTTGAGATTGCACACAAGTACTGCATTTCGTACTCTTTTGTTGGCCATGAGGGCTACTCCATTTTTTCTGAGGGATTCTTGCCCACAGTAGTAGATATAATGGTCATCTGAATTAAATTTGCCCATTCCCATCCATTTTAGTTCACCGATTCCTAAGATTTCGATGTTCACGCTTGCCATCTCCTGTTTGACCACATTCAGTTTACCTTGATTCATGGACCTAACATTCCAGGTTCCTGTGCAGTATTATTCTTAACAGCATCAAACTCCCTGTATATGAAAAGTATTTTGTGGCAGTCACTTTCATCTTTTAATAACCATCTTTCAATCTTGAAATTTTGATTAGTTTGACTTAAAAACAAAATTTGATATCATGAAATTCATTTGATGGCTGTAAGTATTTTGATTGAAAGGAAATTTAGTTAAATCAGATACTCTTTGGTGATGCCTTTGAGAAATTTTAGACCGAGAAGATAACTGACAGTAGCAATACATGTTACGTTTAAATAGTAACCACACATTTAATCATGTATTATGTACCTATGATGTACATATGTATGATTTGCACTCACTTGGTTTTCAGTTTTGTCATGTTAATAGGCTTTTGTATAGAAAATTAAAATTTACCCTTTTGTCACTTTACCTCCCTGTTTAATGGAACAGTGAAAAATACAACTATCTATACTTGGATTTTCTTTACAATAAATATTGAATATATTATTTTTTCTTTTTTGCTATTAATGTATACTGAAGTAGCTTTTCAAAGAGTAAGTACTGAGACAAAGAAATGTAAAAGTATAATGAAAACTATCTATTCTGAAAAGGGAATAGAATGACCTTGTAGTCTTTATTGTTTGGGATGTAGAACTAGTCTTCAGTAAACACATCTTTCCCCTTTCTAGAAACATTTGGTTACTGAAACACTATCTAGTAAGAGGAGATTGGGAACAGTCTCCTAGAGATTGGAAACTGGGTCCCAACAAGTAAAATGATATAAATGAGGCTATTTTGTACAATTAATAATATAATTGTTTTCTCCTAAATGCTAACCAGGGCTGTTATATTTTTGTGCATTCATTTTGCCAAAAATATCTCCTTTTCTTTATGGAAAAAGGAGGAATAATTACCTCTTGATATCCAAAAGAAAGTTAAAGTTTCAATGAAAATTTTCATCCAACTGATTATTATCATTACCTCTAACTTAAGTAGATCTACGTGTGACATTGATTTGGGAAAGTACAATATAAAGCAAAACTAAATTATATATGAAATTTTGGTTGAATCCTAGAACTGCATATTCCAGAATCAAAATAATATGTATTAAAATGCATTTTAGAGCTTAACAAGAAGTCTATTGATAGGATATACTTATGCATGACATTACTTCAAGTAGTATTACTCTATAGCCCATTTAGGATTCCCTGGTGTCTCAGTGGTGAAGAATCTGCCTGCAATGCAGGTGACTCAGGTTCGATCCCTGGGTCAGGAAGATCCCCTGAGGAAGGGCATGGCTACCCACTCCAGTATTCTTGCCTGGAGAATTCCATGGACAGAAGAGCCTGGTGGGCTACAGTCTGTGGGTTGAAAGGAGTCGGACACAACTGAGCAACTGTCACTTTTCACTTTATAGCTCATTTACTTTGCCTGTGGCCAAATTGAAGAGTAATTCTTAGAACCCAAGTTAAACTCTCAATATAATAACAAAGGTGAGCATTTCTTTGCATGATAATTAATCACTATTTTGTATCTTGGTTTTATGTACATCATGATCATATTTTAGTTAATGTAAATCTTATGCAAAGCATGGTATCATTTAATTTTAGTGGATCTGCCTTAGGTGATAACATGTATTTTGAAGTGTGTTAGACTGTTTCTTTAAAATAAAACAAAAGAGTCCTATATGTGAAAAGAAAAGGAAACATGGGGATAAGTAAAGTCACATTGTACAGGTCATATTGTAAGCTTTTATGGGAGATTTTTTTTTATTGAAAGTATATGAGTCTACTAACTGAAGTAGCGGTTTAGGAAAACAGATCACAGAGAAAGAAACAACAGACCTACTTGACACTTTTGGTATACTTTAAACATTTTTGAAAAATTAAATGTAATATGTTTCAGCATCATCTGTAGCCTCCACCTTCTTCGCTATGCCTCAGCCACACTATTTCACTCTTCTCCAGATAGCCTCCTTCTGAACCCTTACTCCTGGAGTGCTCCTCTGGAAAGCTTTTTCTTCCACATTATCACAGAGCTGACTCCTACTCTTTCTTTGAGGCACAGCTAAAACATTCCCTCTGTTCTGAGGTGTGTAGTTCTTCATGACTCCATAGCATTTTTAGAATCGCTATTGCAGCTCTTACCACTTTGCATTATAACTACTTGTTGACATGCCTCAATTTTCACAAAAATATGTTTTTCAGAGCCAAGGGCAATGTCTCTTTTTTCCCTAAATGTTTTACTTTAGAATAGTTTTACATTTACAGAAAAAATAAAAAAACAGGGAGAGATCCCATACACCCCACACCCAGCTTTCCCCTCCTGTTAACATCTAACATAAGTATGGCACACTTGTTATAATTGATGAATTAATGTCACTGTATGATTATTAAGCAAAGTCTATATTTTTTCAGATTTCCTCAATTTTTACCTAATATCCTTTATCTGTACCAGCATCCCATTTAAGATAGCACATTGCTTTTAGTTGTTTTGTCTCCTTAGGTTCTTTTTAGCTGTTACTATTTCTGACTTTCCTTGTTTTTATAATCTTGATTATTTTAATGAGCACTTATTTTATAGAATGCCCTTCAGTTGTGATTTGTTTGATTTTTTTATGTTTAAATTTGAGTTTTATATTCCTGGAAGACCACAAATGTAAAATCACAACATATCATACTATCAACATGGCATCTTTGTTGATGTTGACATTCATCACTTGGTAGTGTTAGTCACTTGTTGATCAAACTTTGCTACTGTAGATTTACTCTTTTTTCTCTGCTTTCACTACTCTACCCTTTGGAAGGAAGTAACTATCTGTAGTCTACATTTAAGGAGTAAGGAGTTATGCCCCTACCTCTTTGAAGTCAGAGTGTATACTTCAATTATTTGAAATTCTTCATGAGGCATATATCTATTTTCTGACATTTATCTACTTATTCCATCATTTTCTATATCAGTATGGACTCATGGATGTTTCTTTTATACTTTGGTTTGTATTCACCATCACCATTTTTGCTCAAACTGTTCCAACTTTGGCCGTTTGGAGCTCTTTTAGTTGTGTGTGTGTGTGTACACATTTGTGCACTTGTGTGTGTTTGAGTATTTCGTTATTTTCAAATCCTATGAGATGCTCCAGGATCATCATGGGTATTTCATGCCCCAGTCCTGCAATCAACAATTTCTCCCAAAGAGCCCTTTTTCTCTTTTTTGGAGAATGGAAGATCTGGGCAGTGGGAGTACTCTTTGCTAAAGGAGTATCATTGCTTTTAAGACCTCTCAATTGATAGAGCAAGGACATAGGTGTGTACTAACCCAGGCATAAACACATATCTAGAAATATTTCTATATGTAACCATCCATATCTATATTGAACTAAATATGAGTTCATACTTATGTTGCTAATCCATTACCATAGAGATCATTCTAGCCTCTTCTTTTGGCTTATCTGTAACCTCCCTGTCCAATAGTGAGAAACCTGGTTACCACCAACTGCTATCTATTTACTTGTTTGCTTACAATATAAGTGTGTAATGGGATTAAAATGGTTGACTTGTATTCCTGTGAGGAACAACTTTATAGCTTCCAGTGCATTGCCGATATACAGTTTCTTTTCACTTTAGTCTTATGGACTGTACTCATTTCCCAAGTTACTTAGGTCAGCACCTTTTCCTCCCATCCCCTTCAGTGAGCTTATAATAGAGTTAGATTGTTTTATCACATTCTTCATTCCATTCTTGGATCTTCCATTCTCCTAAATAATGTCTTTAAAATTTTACAAACATTAAAGTTTGTAGGGGAGGAAGAATCATTCTCTGTTTACTCTTCAGAGTTCTTGGCTGAGGCCCCCTATAATAAATGGCAGGTTAACAAGAGAAAAACAGACATGTTTATTAAAATGTACATGTACCTGGAAGATACCTGGGAAACTTATTACCTTGCCAAGATGGCCAAAGGCACCCCCTTAAATATCATCTTTGGCTAAAGACAAAAGAAAGGTTTTTCAATTTGAAGGGGAGAAAGGCCAGTTATGGGAAGTTTACCGGGAAAAGGACATTGAACCAGGTGAGTCTAAATCTAAATGCCTTCTCCATTGGTAAGAGTTGCTGAAGATTTAGTCATTTATCTCTTCCTGGTGTAGAGGAGTCACCCTGACCTCAATGAAGATTTTCTTTGTAAGTGTAAATTCCTCTTACGATAGAGTAACTCTTGCTTTGTTTTCAGAGCTTCTCTTGTTTCTGTAGTTTCTTTAAAAAAAAAAAAACAGCTCAAAATGGTCTTTACTCTAAAGGGGCATATTCTGAGGTGGCACTTTCTGCTCCCCTTTATTCCCACCTTTGAGACTTCCCCATTAAGTTTTACAACCTAGAAGCCGAGTTGGTAGATGGCTTCATATCTCAATGAATGATTCTTAGTCCTAAGAATAGGTATTTTAGTTAAAGAGATGTGTGTCATTTCAGGACACAGTTTTTCACATGAGCTCCCAAAGTTAAGCCTTTGTGGTGCAAGCAATCAGGGGTTTCTTAACAGGCATTTCTATGCAGGAGACAGGTTCGATCCCTGGGTCTCGATCCCCAGAAGCAAGAAACAGCAACCCACTCCAGTATTCTTGCCTGGAGAATCCCATGGACAGAGGAGCTTGGTGGGCTACAGTCCATAGAGTTGCAAAGAGTCAGACACAACTGAGTGACTGAACACATAGAAACATAAGGGAGAAAAAAGTTAATGATTCAAGCAGAATATAAGCCCAGTTTCTGAGTCATGAGGGCAGCTAGTTAAGAATATTTCTTGATATTAGGCTCAAAGAATCTTTTTTGTTTTAGTTGTAAAATGTAACTAACAAAATTTACCCAGTTAGCTATTTTTAGGTGTACATTTCACTGGCATTAAAGTGCATTAACATTGTGTGCAGTGATTGCCACCATCAACCTCTAGAACTTTTTCATCTTTCCAAACTGAAACTCTGTATCCTTTAAACAGTAACTCCATTCCTTCCTCCCATCAGTCCCTGGAAACCACCCCTCTATTTTCTGTGACCATAAATTAGACCATTTTAGGTACCTCAAATAAGTGGAATTATACAGTATTTGTGTTTTTGTGTATGTTTTATTTCCCTTAGCATAGTGTCTTTAAGGTTCATTCATGATAGCTCATTTCTTTCTGTCACTGAGTAATATTCCATTGTGTGGCTGTACCATAGTTTTCCATTCATGTTTTGAATGATGCATCTTGGGGACTTTCAGTTTTTGAACATTATGTATGAATAAAGCTACTATATACATTATTGTGGAGGTTTTTCTGTTGATGGGAGTTTCAAATTAGTTTAAAAAATACCCAGGATATAATCTCTAGAATATATGGTAAGATTATATTCAGCTTTGTGAGAAGTTGCCAAACTGTCTTCTAAAGTAGGTATACTATTTTGCATTTCCATCAACAACGAATAAAGAATTCTAGTGTCCTACATCCATCTACCAATTTTATTGCTTGGATTTTAGCACTCCAGTAGTTCTGTAGTGGTATCTCACTGTGTTTTAATTGCCAGTTCCCTAATTATAAATGATTTTGATCATCTTTTTATATGCTATTAGTAGTTTGTGTATCTTCTTTGATCTTATGTCTGTTCAGATATATAGCTCCCTTTTCAAGTGGAATGTTTGTTCTTCCATTGCTCAGGTTTAAGAATTCTTTGTATACTTTTGAATTCTTAGTATTATTAAAGAATTTATGAATTCTTGTAGCTCTTTTATCAGATGTATGTTTTCTAAGTATTTTCTCCCATCCTGTAGCTTTTCTTTTGATTTTTCTTAACAATAACTTTCACAGAGCAGAGATTTAAGGATTTTATTTTAAAGTTCTTTTTTTTTTCCCCTAAGATGTAGACTTAATTCTATAAATTTCTTCTAAACATTGCTTTTGCTGCGTCCCACAAATTTGGTAAGTTATGTTTTTATATAGTTCAAGCATTTTTTACTTAATTTACTTTTTAATTGAAGATTAATTGCTTTACAGAATTAAATGAATCAGCCTCAACATGAATCTGGAGAAGGAAATGGCAATCCACTCCAGTACTCTTGCCTGGAAAATCCCATGGACGGAGGAGCCTGGTAGGCTACAGTTCATGGGATTGCAAAGAGTCGGACACAGCTAAATGAGTTCACTTTCACTTTCTTTCAACATGAATCAGCCATAGGTATACATGTATATTTAAAATTTCTCTTGCAAAGTATTCTTTAACCAATGTGTTAGAAATGTGTTAATTTCTAGACATTTGGTGATTTTCCCAGCTGCTTTCTTTTATTGATTTCTAGTTTATTTTCAGAGTGATCTGAGTACACACTTTGTGTGATTTCTATTTTTTAAGAATTGCTGCTGCTGCTGCTAAGTCACTTCAGTCGCGTCCAACTCAGTATGACCCCATAGACGGCAGCCCATCAGACTCCCCTGTCCCTGGGATTCTCCAGGCAAGAACACTGGAGTGGGTTGCCATTTCCTTTTCCAGAGCATGAAAGTGAAAAGTGAAAGTGAAGTCATTCAGTTGTGTCCGACTCTTAGAGACCCCATGGACTGCAGCCTACCAGGCTCCTCCGTCCATGGGATTTTCCAGGCAAGAGGACTGGAGTGGGGTGCCATTGCCTTCTCCTTAAGAACTGCTGAAGTACTTTTAATGACGCAGAATGTGATCTTTCATGGTGAATGTCCTGAGAGACATGGTGAATGAGAACCTGAGAGAAATATATATTTTACTGTTATTAGATGGAGAATTCTACAAATGTCAATTAAATCAAGTTTATTTGCTGTGTTGCTCAATTCAACTGTGTCCTTACTGATTTTCTGCTTGCTGGATTTCAATTAGTGAAAGTAAAGTGTTGAAATCTCCAAAAATAGTAGTCAATTTTTCCATTTATCCTTTCAATTCCGTAAGTTTTTGCCTCATAACTTTGATGCTCCTGTTGTTAGGTGCTTAGGGTTATTATGCTTGGGTGTTGTTAGGTGCTTAGGTGTTTAGGGTTATTATGTCTTCTTAGAGAATTGATCTGTCATTATGTAATGTCCCTCTTTATTCATATTTTCCTTGTTCTGAAGTCAGCTCTGTCTGAAATCAATATACCTAGCTTTCTTTTGGTTAGTATTAGCATGGTATATCTTTCTTCATCCCTTCACTTTTAACTTTTTAAAAAAATTTTTAAAGTGAGTATCTTTTCTTCAAAATGGTTGGATCTTAATTTTTTATCCACTTTGACTTTAATTATGTTTTAACTGATGTAGTTAGACCAATTATAGTAATTATTGAGGGCCTTCCCTGGTGGTCCAGTGCTTAGGACTCTGTACTTCCACTGCAGTGGCTCAGATTATATCCCTGGTCAGGAATCTAAGATCCTACAAGCTGTGCAGTGCAGCAAAAAGTAATAATAAACATTTTTTTAAGTTTAAAAAAGCGATTACTGAATTGTTAGACTAGTATTTCTGTTAATGTTTTCATTTGATTGAACTTATTCTTTGTTTTCCTATCTTCTGCTTTCTCTGGTTGTATAGTTCCACTTTGCCTCTCCTTTCTTATTATAAATTTTACTTCTTTTTAAAAAAAATTTAGTGTTTGGCCTGGATGTTTCAATACTTTTTAAAAGCCATTCTCAGTTCTTCCCTCTCATCCCTTATGACATTGCTGTTATTCATTTCACTTAACTATATGTTGTAATCATCCAATAAATTGTTTTCTTTAATTTTTACATTAAAAAATTTTTTTAGATTGTATTTATTTATTTTCAGACACGGTTTGTGAGATCCTAATTCCCCAACAAGGGATCAACCCCATATCCCCTGCAGTGGAAGCACAGAATCATCCAATAAATATTACTATTTTAGACAAGTAGTTGTCTTTTAGATCAGTTTATAATAAGATAAATAAAATATTTTATTTTACCCTCATTTGCTTCTTCTCTAACACTCTTATCTTCTTTATGTTGATCCATGTTTCTGATCCATGTTTCTGAATCACTTATATTGACATTTCTTGCAGTGAATTTCTGTACAAGGCAATGGCACCCCACTCCAGTACTCTTGCCTGGAAAATCCCATGGACAGAGGAGCCTGGTAGGCTGCAGTCCATGACGTCTCTAAGAGTCGGACACGACTGAGCGACTTCACTTTCACTTTTCACTTTCATGCGCTGGAGAAGGAAATGGCAACCCACTCCAGTGTTCTTGCCTGGAGAATCCCAGGGACGGGGGAGCCTGGTGGGCTGCTGTCTATGGGGTCGCACAGAGTTGGACACAACTGACGTGACTTAGCAGCAGCAGCAGTGCATTTCTGGTGGTGATAAATTCCCTGTTTTTGTTTGTTCAAGAATGCCGTTAGTTTTTACCAGTTTAAATGTTTCACTCCACTCTCTTCTTTCTTGTATGTTTTTTGACAAGAGCTTCACTCTGATTCTTACCCTTGTTCCTCTATAGATATATCATTTTTCCTGTGTTTTTTCAAGATTTTCTATTTGTGGTTTTTCTGCAGTTTGAATATATCTAGATGTTGTGATTTTGTTATTTATCCTACTCGGTGTTTTCTGAGCTTCAAGGGTTTTTTATTTGGTGTCTATCATTAATTTTGGAAAGTCCTTGGACATTATTTCAGATATTTCTTTTAGTCTATTTTTTCTTTCTTCTTCCTATACATCTTCCTTCTCCTGCCTTTTGAAATTATCCCACAGTTCTTGTATGTTTTGTTTCATTTTTTTCATTCTTTGTTCTTTTTGCAATTTGGTTTATGAAATTTCTATTCTGTCTTCAGGATAACTCACTCTTTCCTTGACTGTGTCCAGTATACTCATGGGCCCATCAAAGACAGCCTTCATTTCTGTTATGGTGATTTAATTCCTAGCTTGCCCTTTAGATTCCTGCTGAGAATTGCAATTTCTGTGCTTAAATTATCCATCTGTTTTTGCACATTATCTTTTTTCCATTAGAACACTTAAGATATTAAACATAAATA